TTAAGACCGATTGACAGAATATCTTATGCATTCTGACGAAGTGGTCAGACAGACAGAATCTGTGTTTGTCAGGGTTGCCAGGAGGCAAGAAAAAACGGCCAAACCGGCCATAATTCAATATATATCAATAAACTAGTAATAGGCGGGACAAAAATTCCGATTTTCAGGCTTTTCATAGATTGAAAAAACAATGCAAAGACAATTTGAAAGACAATCCAAAAAAAAAAACAAATTGACCAGCAGAGATTTTTCGAGTCAGTACAATTAAAAAAATATAACTCAGTACTCACTGCAGTGAGTGACAGCGAGCGCATTTGCTCGTCGACGAAAACGTGAAGTCACGGACGGACAGACGGACATGACGAGCACTATAGTGCATTTTTTCCATAAATGAGAAAATGCGCTAAAAAGGCCCAAATCGTCAAATTTGGCCGCAAACAAGTCAACCGTACTCGTCTCAACGGACAGAAATCTTGCCATTCCTTGCAGGGCTGCCAACCTCTGCGCGACGCTTCCAGCAGCCACCTGAACTTAAAAAATTAAAGGTCGTTGCGGTAATTTTTCTTTTATTATTATTGTTATTGTAAGTTCATTATTTCTTTTATGAGATTTTTGCAGCGATTATTGTTATTGCAAGTTCAATATTTCTTTTATGAGATTATTGCTCCGATTTGCTGCATAATCATTTATTTACGGCAAATCGTTCCGACTTCTGATTCAAACAACGTTTTATATACAGCACAGTAGAAATTTTTTTGGGTTGTTGCGTAAACACATAAACAGTATTTTTATGGAAAAATTGCACTCAAACTGTGACTATTAGAAATTTTGACACTCTTCGGAAATTTAGTCATATACGTCTTCTATGGAAATGACTAACCTTATCGCGGCTGAAATTAAATTTTGTCAAGTTAAGCGAACGAAAATATACGCGATATATATAACGATATATATAAGCGAACGAATATATCGTTAAGCGAACGAAAATATAGTTGCAGTCTACAAACTCTAGACTGAATGTACCAAATTTTCACGAATATTTGTCTTATGGCTCTAAACTAAGGTAAATTTATTAATCCTTTGACTATCATAATCACCGTAAGTGAATTTAAATGACCCAGGAGTGTCAGAACCGGATTAAACTTGGGAGATTTTCGAACAAAGCCACTTCTTAACCTAAATCTCGGAGTCAAAACCTTTTTTGAGTTGACATATGTTACTTTGCAACAACATACCTTACTGCATTAACATAATATTTGGACTTTATGATAAAATATGTTTGTGCAAAAACTAACAAAAGAACATCAGATTATGACGTTATTCATCTTAAGAGGAGAGTATTACAAATTTTGTGAAGCTTCTCTACGTGAACAACGCGCGCGGAAAGAGATGATGCCATACGCAGAGCTGGGCAGAGCTACCTTGAAATGTAGCGGCGCTACCGCTACCGTTACACCCACTAGATTGTAACGGGCGCTACCGCTACCGCTACAGTAAAATGTAGCGCGCTACATTAGCCGCTACAATGGCCAAAATTATTGGAAATCTCTAAATATTTATTGTTCTGTTATTGGGATTTACTCATAAACATTTAATGATAATAAAACATTTTTAAAACATATCAATGCAACTTTATTGCAATTAACCTAACCGAACTAGTACGGGTTAGATGCAGTAAATAAAAGCTACAGTTATTTTTATGTTTTACCTTCCCTACATGGATGTCTACTTTAATCTACCAATCTCAAAAATTATCTACATATACATATAAAAAACATAACTCAATAATCAGTGCAGTGAGTGACAGAGAGCGCATTTTCTCGTCGACGAAAAGGTGAAGTCAAGGACGGACAGACGGACGGACGGACGGACATGGCGAGCACAATAGTGCATTTTTTTCCATAAATGAGAAAATGCTCTAAAAATCGGTCTTTTATTTTTATATATATGCGGATTATTTTTGGGATTGGTAGATTAAAGTAGACATCCATATGTAGGGAAGGTGAAACATAAAAATAACTGTAAGCAAACTGAAACATGAAAAAATATCTGTAAGTGGTAACTGGTAATAACTTAACAAGCAACAACTAACATGTTGACACAGGCTAGTAACAGGCTGAGGTTGACAACATTACACCGAAATCTTTCGTACAGTTTTATTCTGTAATTTATATTATATATGTATCATGCTGGTTTTTAAATAATATTCAATACTATTAAGTAAAATCTAAAGGCTTTATCTATACATGTAGCGGTAGCGCTGTAGCGGCAAAACCTCGTATTGCTACTTAAATATGTAGCGGGCGCTACCGTTACCGCTACAATTGCTTAAATGTAGCACCGCTACCGCTACATTGCCTTAAATGCAGCGCCGCTACCGCTACCGCTACATGTAGCGCGCTACTGCCCACCTCTGGCCATACGACTGAAAAGTTATATAGAAATGTTATTTATTTCAATGTTGAAAAATTCTTGTACATAATTATTTCAGCAATTTTGCAATTTTTCAAAAGATCATTACGTGACGTCCCTTTTTAGCACATTTTCTCATTTATGGAAAAAATTAAGACGCTATTGTGCTCGTCATGTCCGTCCGTCTGTCCGTCTGTCTGTCCGTCCGTCTGTTCATCTGTCTGTCCGTCCGTCCGTCTGTCCGTGACCACGTTTTCGTCGACGAGAAAATGCGCTCTCTGTCGCTCACTGCAGTGAGTACTGAGTTATATTTTTTCTGTTAATTTTCCGTTAATAATTTGTGCAAGGCCATCCGATGCTCATGTAGCTAAGGCAAATAAGGCCTGCAGTGTGACTATCGTATTTATCTGTGGGACGATAAGGAGAAGAGCCATACATCGCAAGCAGATAAAGTATCACATTGTACAACGTTAATAAGAACTCGTGTATCACTACGGTGCATGATTTCATCCTTTATTATTTTCTTTGTAAATAAAAAGAAAAAAAACGAAGTCATTTACCTTCAAGGTTGATAAACTCGCTGATAAACAACTTTCTATAGCAATCAAACAATTTCGCAGTCATCATGTGGTTATTAAACCTTACAAATCGTAATTAAGATCAATATTATTCGGTTTTTAGTGACGATCGGCGAGTTAAGTGCAGTATTAGCTAAGTTAGTGTTAGATAGCAGAATTTACTTGTTTATACACGTGCGATTGATGACCAGAGAATTCGTTTATAGCGCATTTTCTCATTTATGACAAAAAATGCACTATTGTGCTCGCCATGTCCGTCTGACCGTCCGTCCGTCCGTCCGTCTGCCCGTCCGTCTGTCCGTCCGTGACTTCATGTTTTCGTCGACGAGAAAATGCGCTCTCTGTCACTCACTGCAGTGAGTATTGAGTAATATTTTTTTATATTATCAGGGAGTGGAACAATTATTCAGATGACGGTAGATTAAAAGGCAAGTTTCAGGAAGTAGTTTTTGTTTTTTAACGACGTTTCGAACGCAACAAACATTAATTTTCAAGTAAGAAGTATCAAATATTGAAATTTTGGTCAAAATAAGTACATAATATATGTAAATAGAATACAACATTAAAATTTTGGATCACAAATTACCATGAATATTCTTTCAGAGTTCAGACAAATCCGGTAGTCAGAAAAGTATTAGCTATAAGTGGCGACTTATATGTCATTCGCGGTAGGACCCCGTGAAAATTTACAGACGCAGCAGCTTCTGATTGCCAGAAGCTGGGACGACTCTAAATTTTGTTAGGGTAACTGTGCTTTCTCAGGGCAGGGAGGGACATGGAGTCGCAAGCAGGACCAGCATTTAGGAAGGAATTGGGGCAACATATCGACCCAGCGAGCTGCTCTTTACCGCAGCTTGTTTGCTTCATAAATGATGCGTAGATTCCAAGCGCGGGCGAACGCAACGAGAGTCCACCACCACCGCCACCGCCACCACCACCGCCGCTCCTGCTTGGCACTAGTTGCCCTGGCATCGACCAGGACACTAACTTGCATGAGTTGCAGCTCTTCACGCTCCTTTTTACGGCTTTTAATTCATGTTAAATACTTCATAGCACGCGGTGTTACGCATATTCTTAACTATCCAGATAGGTGTTGAAGTTTAGTACGGATGTGGAATACGTTAGTTCCAGAGTGCACTGCCATACGAAAAGGGGATGATAACACAGAAATATGAGATGTAGAGCGAGGGCATCAGAGTGGGAGAACCGCTCGCTCATTCGCAGATGGAGCCAGTAGCGCCTGATCCAGTTGTGGCTATTACCATCTCTAATGAAGCTTTCAAGAGATAACCAGCCTAGTGTTAAATACAATTGCTACGCTTGAATCACAGTATATAGGTTCAATTTTTATAGAAATGGAAAGAAAAGGTATTGGAATGTTTCTTACTTAGGTGCCTCATCTGCTCATCGGTTTAAATGACGTAGATACAAGGTATTCTTTAGCAGTAGATGTGATGCGGGTGTTTGGGGATGGTTGGGTAGAGGAGGGGTGCAGGCAGAGAGTTGCCAGACTCGCCACATGGCACTTCATATCAATCTCAGTTACCCACTATACTTCCGCACATCGATGGTTTGCTGTTGTGACCTTTAATAGTTATTTTAATTATCAAACTTCACTGCCAAATTGCTGAAGCACGGTTAAAATGTTCTTTTTTGCCAGAATTATGGGAATCGGGTGAGAGGGAAAGCGATGACTGTGTAAATTTGAGGGTTTATTTATAGAATGAAGCTGTCTCTTAGATTAACCTCACTATTTCCTCTAAGATTTTGTTATAGCACATTCTAATTCAGTAGCTAAAAATTGAACAGAATATCTCAAATTCACTGTTCGTGTTAGTGATACATCAGAATGAGGAGCGTGCGCATTTTCTAGAGTACATGAGTGCGTTTGTGAGTTCGTGCATGTGTGCGTATGAGGAGAGAGAGCTGGAGAGGGGAAGAGGGACGTAATGTGAGGGGGGAGGGAGTATTTAGTGTTAGTGCCTGCCTTCAGGCAGTAGTGAGGAAGCACTGAGTGGGTGAGGAGGTTGCGCTGCGCTTGTGCGTGGTGTGTGTGTGCGTGCGCTTGCCGTCGTCCAGATTTGAAGAGAACATAAGCAGCTTCTGACGAAAAGAATTTTCTTCCTTCAAGAGATACAATTGTGCTCTATACGAACGGCTACAATGTTATACGAGTGGTGTACGCGACGTAGATAGATCGGTGTGTGCAATTAGTTTTAAGGTGTGTTAGTTATTATTTACGATTAATTTATATTGCAATACTATAAATATGCACAAGGAGTGGTAAGTAATCATGATTTATTATAATATATCTTAATTAAATCATATTGAGATTTGACTCAGTCTCAGTGTGTGCTCTTGTTTTCGCTGCAGCGCTTGACATCTGATATTAACATCTGAGTTAGTATTTCTTTAAAACTTCCTCAACCCTCACCTTGCTAACTCCAATCTTTTCCTGTTGAACTGATTCCTCCACTGCCCTTTTGTGAATTTCCTCTATAAGTTATCGGCTATAATGCATAAATGTTTTTTAAATATCATTAAAAGTATGTGTTAAAAGTGGCGCAGAAGTTGGTCAAAAGCTGCGTAGATAAAATGATCGTGTAGCGCTTGCTCTGACCTAACCATCACTCCGCCATCACAGGCGTGCGTCTCATGGACAGGAAGGATAGGTTCTGTGACGTCCTAACCACTCAACTGTGACTCTAGTGCGCGGTTATACGTTGTGTCTTAACACGTTATATGGGTTATACATTGTGTCATAACACGTTATATGGGTTATACATTGTGTCTCAACACGTTATGGGTTCAGATTGTGTCAGACATAACACGTTATGGGTTCAGATTGTGTCATGACACGTTATGGGTTCAGATTGTGTCAGGCATAACACGTTATGGGTTCAGATTGTGTCAGGCATAACACGTTATGGGTTCAGATTGTGTCAGGCATAACACGTTACGGGTTTAAAATATTTTTCAAGAAAATAAAGAAAATGTTGTATCACTTCAGTTTTAAGGTTGTAATAACTTTCCGGAATGCCATTGTTTCGGACCTGGACAAGTATATCAGTCCTACTTTCGTTTCTAATGGTCGTTTTACCTGTAAATTTTTCTACGAGTTACGAGTGTTGAACAACGAGTTACGAGTGTTGAAATATTACCTGCAATCGATATATTACGATATAATATGATTATTATCGGTCTATTTTGTATTATTTTATTTTTACACGTAAAAACATTTTATATAATGGAAAACCGCACATAATTGGTAGTACGGAACTAATCTTGAACACATTATTATTATTTGAATGGATTTTAACCAGTGGGCGTAATGTGAACCGCTCACTTAACCGTATTGTGAACCGTTCACTTAACCGTATTGTGAACCGTTCACTTAACCGTATTGTGAACCGTTCACTTAACCGTATTGTGAACCGTTCACTTAACCGTATTGTGAACCGTTCACTTAACCGTATTGTGAACCGTTCACTTACCCGTATTGCTAACCGTTCATTTAACCGTATTCTGAACCGTTTTCTGAACCATATTGTTTATCGTTCTCTTAACTTTATTTTGAACCGTTCTCTTAACCGTATTGTTAGCCGTTCACTTTACTGTGCTCCGAAGTCGTTCGATCGCGTTACCGTATTTTCAATATGGTTTCTAAATGATTGAATCATCAACCTGCACGCTGAAGTTGCCTTCAGCGACGGCAACCTGCACTCTGAAGTTGCCATCAGCGCAGGCAACCTGCACTCTGAAATTGCCATCATGCAGCGCAGGCAACCTGCACTCTGAAGTTGCCATCAGCGCAGGCAACCTGCACGCTGAAGTTGCCATCAGCAGCAGACCTGAAGGCAGCAGCAGGCAGTACAGCGATATTGAAGATAATGTATCTCGTTATGGCTGCATCAGGAAAATTCTCCATGAATTTAAAGGTTTAATGAAGTAATCTTATCTTAGCAAAGTAATCTTTAGTGAAGTAATATTAAGTGAAATAATCTTTAGTGAAGTAATGTTATCGAGTGTCACTGTTTGCGTTACTTACATTGTTAACTATACATAAAGTAAAAGAATTTATTGATTTTAGATTTGAAGCTATAATTAATTAATTTAGTAAAGTAATAAAACATCTCTTATTTAGACGGATATTTGATTCAATTTTAGACGGATATTTGATTCAATTTTAGACGGATATTTGATTCAATTTTAGACGGATATTTGACTCAATGTTAGACGGATATTTGACTCAATGTTAGACGGATATTTGATTCAATGTTCGACGGATATTTGATTCAATATCAGAAGTTTCACTTAATCAATAACTCTAATTTGTCGATTCACTTTTTTCATTAATTTCGTTGACCGAATTCGCCTGCTACTGCTCCCGCTCATCCAACGCAGGCGTCTCTTAACGTTTTTTAACGTTATTTTTACAACGCTACACGTAAACCGTTGCGTTAACGTTATAACGCTGCACGTATATATAATTCGTTTCGTCAACGTTATCATGTTATAACTCTACACGTAATTCGTTGCGTTAACGTTATAATGTTATAACGCTACACGTAATTCGTTGTGTTGACGTTATAATGTTATAACGCTACACGTAATTCGTTGCGTTAACGTTATAACGCAACACGTAATTCGTTGCGTTGACGTTATAACGCTACACGCAATTCGTTGCCTTAGCGTTATAACGCTACACGCAATTCGTTGCGTTAACGTTATAACGCAACACGTAATTCGTTGCGTTGCTGTTAGAACGCTACACGCAATTCGTTGCCTTAGCGTTATAACGCTACACGTAATTCGTTGCGTTAACGTTATAACGCTACAACGTTATAACTCTACCAGAAATGCGCTGGAGGTTACAACGCTACACGTAATTCGTTGCGTTGACGTTATAACGCTACACATAATCCCTTGCCTTAACGCTATAACGTTATAAAGTTATAACGCTACCAGGAATGCGCTGTAGGTTATCGAGTTCAGGAAGATTTTGATACGCTCAGGGTCGCGCGGTCTGGATAAACATTCCATTTTTAGCGTTGCTGGAGTGGTTATCGTGAATCTTATCGATGTTTTCGATTCTGTTATCTGCTTTACTGTCTTTTTTATTGTTTATTGTTGATGTTGACTCCCTGAACTCTATTTCCTCTCTAGTCACGCTGAACGCAGCACGCCAGTCACGCTGAACGCAGCACGCTAGTCACGCTGCACGCAGCATGCTAGTCACGCTGAACGCAGCACGCTAGTCACGGTGAACGCAGCAGTCACGCTGAACGCAACACGCTAGTCACGCTGCACGCAGCATGCTAGTCACGCTGAACGCAGCACGCTAGTCACGCTGAACGCAGCACGCTAGTCACGCTGAACGCAGCACGCCAGTCACGCTGCACGCAGCAGTCACGCTGAACGCAGCATGCTAGTCACGCTGCACGCTAAGCATGACGGTAGGGAATACCAGCGTTGCTGCCCACGTCCTCTGCGTTATCTTGTGGCGACGGCAGGACTTCTAGGATATTTTCCAACATTCCACAAATAAATTTAACTTCAAAAAAGCTTTTGAAATTTCAGGTTGTAAGTAAAAAGAACACTCGATCGCTTAACTTTTCAAATTTTGATTTGAAAATTCAGGATATAAGGATTAAGATCGCTTTATTGCTTAACTTTAAAAAGGATTTTGAAATTTCAGGCTAAAAGTATTAAGATCGCTTGATTGTTTACCATTAAAAAAGTTGTTGAAAATTCAGGATATAGGTATTAAGATCACTAGTTTGCTTAAATGGCAATTTATCAAATATTCGAAAGTAAATAAGTAAGAAAGACAGTTGAGGATTTGACGTTCTTTCGTACATTTTTGATGTTGCGTTTATTTCATGTATAATTAACTATTGCGCTTATATTATTAATCATTAGATCTTTACATCATCCATCTCGCTGTCTTCTTAAAAATGTAATGAAGTACAAATAATTGGATGTTTTCACTGCCAATTAGAATGTAATAAAGCAGTAATAATTGGATTGTTTCACTGCCAATTAGGCAAAAATTCAGCAGCTAAGGAAAATTGCTTAGAAAATTCATCTTATTTACATTAGGAAGCTCCACTCCCATGTGCTTATGATACGAGTATCTTGCAATTGTTGAATAGTTGCAAACGAAGTCATTTCTTCAACGACGTACATAGTTTTTATCGCTCTAAATATTTAATCGATATTTTTTTCTCGTTTTTTTTATTAATTGTCAAAGTAGGTTGGAATTTATCCCTATTAAAATTATTCTAAGAATTGCTTATACCTGCTTTCTTAAAGGACGAGATGATGATGGAGCTGTCTCCGAAGAAATGTAAATTAAACATTGTACTTCTTGTTGACATTTTCTTTGACTTTACATTCGTCAGAATCAACAAACATAAGATTCGTTGGAATCAACAACCGTAAAATTCGTTAGAATCAACAAACATAAGATTCGTTGGAATCAACAACCGTAAAATTCGTTAGAATCAACAAGCGTCAGATTCATTAGAATCAACAAGCATACAATTCGTTAGAATCAACAAGCATAAAATTCGTTAGAATCAACAAGCGTCAGATTCGTTAGAAACAACAAGCGTAAAATTCGTTAGATTCAACAAGCGTCATATTATTCGTTGGGATCAACAAGCGTCAGATTCGTAAGATTCAACAACCGTAAGATTTGTCAACTGCAACAAGCGTAAGATTCATCAGATTCTACAGTTGAACCTTTCAATTAAGGGTTACGCATGCTATGCACGATAAATGCGCATTTTCTAGATTAACGTAACTCACATCGTATTAATTTCGAGTATTGCTGTCTAAATTAGTACCTATGATTTAGAAGAACAATTTATGAAAATATTCAAATTTAGGACGAACTTGCTTTTCAAACGCTTTTAAAACGTTCTGAAAAACCTGCAATGCCTGAGTTGATCCTACTCATTGAAGCCTGTGTTGATACACAAGTTGTATTGTATTCAAACACACAGCAATATACATACGTAGTAAAAGTGTTCCATCAAAAGCTCGCGTGTGTGCAGTACATACAGGTGTATATTCCTGTATTGTATTTGAAATTTCAGAGATGACGACTAACACAAAACACAATTTCCGTGTTGGCTTCTTCTGGTGTAGAACGCTTGCCTATTTTCAAGTCAATTAAAAAAAACGATACATACTGTTGGCTTTTCATGAAAAAGTTTTGTTTGTGCTATGAAAATAAACTTCTTTATCGATCTCAAATATTTAATGGGACCCTATATGTCATTCTGTACTTTGATATAGCACGTCTGTACACGCACCTGTAGTAACACTTGTAGAACTACTTTAACTTCTTCACCTGTACTTCACGATGTATTCTAACCATATGGATTAAAAGGAAGATCTTTCTTCGATTGTACGGTGATATCAAATTCTACAAGCCCTCGAATTGTGTTTAAAATAAGTTTTTAGTTTTTGTGTCTCAAGTGGAGGTCGATATAAGAGGATAGCGTTAAAAAAATGTCTTAGCCAATTCATTTAATATGAAAATACCGCTTAATATCGTTTGAACTTAGCGAACTCATTTACCTTTTTTAAATTAATTGATGGTTCAATGCATGTATCGAGAAATGAATGGCATATTATTCACGTTAATGACCGTAAGTCTACTATTCATTTTTACGATCGATAGCAATTCATATGGCATCTTAAATTGGACAATGATCGAGTGTAGCATTTCATTGTAACTCATGTACATAGTATAAAATAATGCGAAGCAAAATGAAGATAAAACAAATAACCGCTTCGGTCTCATAGCCGAAATGTGCACAATGAGACTTCGCTGATGTCGTTTGCTGTCGAGCTGTCAAAAAAGTTTTCGATTTGTGACAGTGTTGGGCTGTTGTATGACTTGAAGTTGTGCCGTGTTGGTCTGTTGTATGACTTGAAGTTGTGCCGTGTTGGGCTGTTGTATGACTTGAAGTTGTGCCGTGTTGGGCTGTTGTATGACTTGAAGTTGTGTCGTGTTGGGCTGTTGTATGACTTGAAGTTGTGCCGTGTTTAACATTGCTCCTTGACTCATTACTTACATAGCTTCACATTAATTGAAGACAAGCTTGTCCCGCTTCATTTATTATGTGACTAAAATTTTTGGCTGTTTAGAGATTTGAGACTTTTTTGGTGTTTTTGCCGCTATGTATCTTGTTTCATGACTTGCGATTTAATTTCACTTTGACGACTGCTGCTCGGGCCGTGAGGTTTATTTACCTGCAACTTATGAATGATTTATTTTATATATCTCATGACTTTTCATGCTGTTCTCTATGACTTAATGCCATGACTAACACCGGCTGCGCTCCACGGACTGGCACTGCGTGGCACAGTGCCAGGGCCGCTGGTCTTGGCAGCTTCACTTCACCACCACAGTACCTAGACAAGGGAAGTAGTCTCCCCTCCACAATATTCCTACTTTTACAAGGAATTTAAAAGCAAAAAAAAAAAAACACCAAGCAAATTCACCATATCGATCACAATATTCGTAATTTCACAAGGAATTTAAAAGCAAAGAAAACACCAAGCAAATTCACCATATCGATATGGAAAACATTTCGGAGTCTAGCTCCATCATCAGTTCGAAAAACTAAAAATGAATAAAATCATATTATTATATCAAAATTTTAAGACAGACATAAAACCTAAACAAGACCTAACATTATATTGAAAAAAAAACGGGACTAGATTGGAAGAAATTAGTCCTAAAATTCTATTGTTTTAATGAATGCGCTTACGTGATAGGTTAAATGACAGGTTGATAGCTGCCAATGTCGTAAGTTGTCATATGATCGTTACCATACGGCAATCATCCCATAATGTCGTAAGTTATGCAATGATGGCAACCAATGTTGTAAATTATGTAACGCTCCCAAGCAACGACGTGAACTGTAAATCCATCGCAATCAATTTATATCTTGAATCATGCAAGATCGCTGCAAATGCGAGTTTTAAAACATTAGAACTATTGTCGTAACTTGTACAACAATCGCAATCAATCAATCGTAAGTTGTACAACGATTGTAACCACTGTCGTGCCATAAGAGTAAACCGCTATACTGTACAACGTCGGCTTTTTGAAGAGGTTTAGTTAATTAAGTTTCTATTGCACAACGTCGGCTTTTTGAAGAGGTTTAGTAAATTGAGTTTGTAAACAAACTAACGACTCCGATCGTACGTCTGGACCGCGGCTAAAATGCTGAGTCACGCTTCCGTCGCGCCACGCTATGCGCATCTTACGTAACCACTCACTTTTTTACTCAATTGTGTTATTATTTATTCATTTATTATTATTATTATTGTTGTTGTTATTATTATTATTATTTCATTATAGCGTCGTCAGGATGGATATACTTATTTTCTCTCAATGTACGCTGCAATTGTATGCTGGGTATTATATACATGATTCCTGAATGCATGTAGTATGTTGAATGTGTGCTGACAATGCATGCATGATTAATGTATACGGTACTGCGAATGCATGCAAGATGAAATGCCAATGCAATATAACTTCATTTTCGTCATGTTGACCTCGTGGCCAGAGCAGCACAACCTCATGTTCGTCATGTTGCTCTCGTGGCCAACATAACGTAAACTCATGTTCGTCATGTTGCTCTCGTGCCTACATGACATAACCTCATGTTCATCATGATTCCCTCGTGCCTACATAACATAACCTCATGTTCGTCATGTTGCCCTCGTGGGCGACATAACATAACCTCATGTTCGTCATGTTGACCGCGTATTTGGACGCGTAAAACAGATCGCATTTCATGTTCGCGCTGCAACTTACCCCTAGAACGTTTCTCTAGAAACCGCAATTTATGTCACTTGTAGAGGGAAGTTACTTCTTTAATTTCATGTTATAATTGGCATTCAGTGCTGCAGGTGATTACAGTTCAGAGTACTATTTTTGGTGCCGGGAGTTGCTGGTTTGAAACCCCAGGAAGCTGTACGAATTTTGCGATGTCTGGAATCGGCCACAGACTAGAGGCCGTACTTTCAAAACTTGATTAAGTACACGTAGCGGCCTAAGTACACGTAGCGGCCCAAGTACACGTAGCGGCCTAAGTACACGTAGCGGCCTAAGTACACGTAGCGGCCTAAGTACACGTAGCGGCCCAAGTACACGTAGCGGCCTAAGTACACGTAGCGGCCCAAGTACACGTAGCGGCCTAAGTACACGTAGCGGAGCGGCCCAAGTACACGTAGCGGCCGAAGTACACGTAGCGGCCTAAGTACACGTAGCGGCCTAAGTCACGTAGCGGCCCAAGTACACGTAGCGGCCTAAGTACACGTAGCGGCCTAAGTACACGTAGCGGCCTAAGTCACGTAGCGGCCCAAGTACACGTAGCGGCCTAAGTCACGTAGCGGCCCAAGTACACGTAGCGGCCCAAGTACACGTAGCGGCCGAACTACACGTAGCGGCCTAAGTTCACGTAGCGGCCTAAGTACACGTAGCGGCCGAACTACACGTAGCGGCCGAACTTTCAAAATTATTATTAAAAATGAAAATTATTTCTGTATTTTGAATTTTTATTATTTTTTATATTAATAAATATATTAGCTATAGACCCAATATATACATATATAGCTATAGACCATGTCCAGGAGGGTCTGCGATGATGCAAGGCCTCTAATTGGTCTGATTATACAGCGTAAGACCGCGCACCTGTGCTAGTTGTGTGACACCTGTGTGAGAACTGAACCATTTGTATAGATTATTTATGTGTAGTACGTGCGTAAGGCATGAGCTCTTGTGTAGTACCTGTATAAAATGTAAACTCTTCTTGTATAGTATATCACCTGCACGAATAGTGAACCTATTTTTTTTATTATCCATGTGAATTTGGAACTATTCCTGTGTAGTACCTGTATGGATTGTGAATTATTATTGTATATCACCTGTATAGCATCAAACCCTTGTGTAGTACCTGTATAAGTAGAAAACCCTTCTTGTATAGCATCTGTATTAGCCATTACACCCTTGTGTATAGTGCCTGTATAAGTTTTAAACCCTTCTTGTATAGCATCTGTATAAGCCATTACACCCTTGTGTAGTGCCTGTATAAGTTTTAAACTTTTCTTGTATATGATCTGTATAAGTCATCAAACCCATGTGTATAACCTGTATGTCATCAACCCTCCTGTATTTCCTGTATAGATCTCTGGTCGTGACGCAGTATAAGGCTATACAAGCGCCCTGTGTTATTAGTTGGAAAATAATCAGACGTGATTATTTTTAACCAATTATTATTATTAATGAAATTTAGAGCAGCGATGCAGGCCTGAAACTTCAGCATCAGCATCATATGTTATTGTGCCTCATGCCACATCAGCCGCGCCACATGCCACATCAGACATGCCACACGCCACATCAGACGCGCCACATGCCACATCAGACACGCCACACGCCACATGCCACATCAGACACGCCACACGCCACATGCCACATCAGACACGCCACACGCCACATGAGACACGCCACACGCCACCTCACACACACATCATCAGACACGCCACACGCCACATCACACGTGCCACATGCCACATCAGACACGCCACACGCCACACGCCACACCAGACACGCCACACGCCACATCAGACACGCCACATCAGACACGCCACATCAGACACGCCACACGCCACATCAGACACACATCATCAGACACGCCACACGCCACATCACACGTGCCACATGCCACATCAGACACGCCACACGCCACACGCCACACCAGACACGCCACACGCCACATCAGACACGCCACATCAGACACGCCACATCAGACACGCCACACGCCACATCAGACACACATCATCAGACACGCCACACGCCACATGAGACACGCCACACGCCACATGAGCCACGCTTATCAGTAGGCAGCGCTGGTATCTCGGCTATCAGCAGACGCGCGTGTGGGCCTCTCGTCGCCTCGCATGCAGCGCTCCATGTTGAGCTCGCGTTATGGATAATTAAATTAATTATATTCATAATTATATATTATAATTATAGGCATCTATGCTGAATGTGTCACTTATAATGCATCAGGCATCTATCCAGAACATTTCACTTAAAATAGTCTATACATCAGGCATCTAAGCTTAACATGTCACTATTATTTATCTTAACATCAATGCTGATGTTCAACTTCAACCATTAATGAGAAGTGCAAATAGCTTTTATTCACATTAATTTAAATGGCCCAGCTAACCATAATTCTGGTTAATGTCGAGTCTGTATAAGATGTCTGTAAAATTACACTGTGTTTATAATCAATGTATTAAGTTAACAAGTGGAATTATCGTATTCCTTTCTATGTGGCATTATGTTGAGGCATGTTATGTGCATGTTGGATCATGTTGGATCATGTTGTATCATGTTGGATCATGTTGTATCATGTTGTATCATGTTGTATCATGGACAACATGTAGGCGATATATCGCAACATCGTAACCATGGTTACCAACATGTTGGCTCAACGTGCTTGTTTAGCTTTCGCTTAAAATTCTACGGCTTCCGTACGCCATCATTCGTGTATGATTAACTAGAATGATTTAATAATTTTAATGTTCAATTTTACAATACTATACTCGACACAATAAATGTTACTCACGTTTCGAAGTGAGATATGAATTTGGTGTTTTGTGCGTTTTCTTTATATGCGAGCTATATTTGTATAGATAAAAGAATTGATTGCAGAAAAATAACGGCATCACTGAAACATAACTCGTGCACAGCACTGTAAAATAAAGGGCACTACCGTGTATATATAGAACTCTGCAGTACAGTGCAGTGCACTGTACAATAGAATACGCTGGGTGCAGTGCACTGTACAATAGAATACGCTGGGTGCAGTGCACTGTAAAATAGAATACGCTGGGTGCAGTGCACTGTACAATAGAATACGCTGGGTGCAGTGCACTGTACAATAGAATACGCTGGGTGCAGTGCACTGTACAATTGAATACGCTGGGTGCAGTGCACTGTACAATAGAATGCGCTGGGTGCAGTGCACTGTAAAATAGAATACGCTGGGTGCAGTGCACTGTACAATTGAATACGCTGGGTGCAGTGCACTGTAAAATANGCTACGTGTACTTGGGCCGCTACGTGTACTTGGGCCGCTACGTGTACTTGGGCCGCTACGTGTACTCAGGCCGCTACGTGTACTTGGGCCGCTACGTGTACTTGGGCCGCTACGTGTACTTAGACCGCTACGTGTATTTTAAGCTGTCAATGAATGTACCGTATGATAATAATTAAAGAGATTTATTGAACTGAACAACATTCTGCTCCCTATAGCCTCACGACGCTGGAATGTACAGGAAATGCCCCAGGTGTCGGGGAAGAAGGCAGCGCTGGAAGCCTGGGGAAGAGATGAGGCTGTGCACATGATATGGGCTGGCGGGGAGGCGTGGGGAGGTGTGGGGAGGCGTGGGGGAGGCGGATGTTGGGGTAGAGTTACAGGGGCTGGAGGTATAGAACCTTCCCCACGGTAAGGGGAGGTGTGGGTACAGATCAGTAGGTAAGTTGCTGAGCTTTGGGGATATTGGGTATATATAAGTATATATGAATATGATTATCATGTTTAAGTACGAAGATGATTATCTTATATGAGTATGAATATGATTATCATGTTTAAGTATGAAGATGATTATCATATATCTGTATTAAGATGAAGGAAGATGATTATTGCTTCATCAATTTAATTATTTTTTTTTCTCTTTTATCATTATTTGTTTATACAATATGAGACAATATGTACATTTAATTCAGTAATTTATTTGTATGATGAAGATATCCATCCTAATGTATCATGAAAGGAAAATGAAATTTAGTTCTTAAAGGGGGAGTGAATGTTGTGTGTGCGTGAATGCTGTGTGGGTGTGTGAAGGTGGCTTGTATAAGTTATATGTGTGGGCAGCGTGCGTGCGTATAGATGTGTCGTCTCTGTATACGCGCATGTTGTTCAGGCGTATATGTGTGACTTGTATGCGCTGCTGCTGTGTGACTGTGTGTCTGTGTGTAGTTGCTGTGTGGCTGATATGTGGCTGTGTGTAGATGCTGTGTATGGCTGCTATGTAGCTGTGTATGGCTGCTATGTGGCTGTGTGAAGTGGCTGTGTATGGCTGCTATGTGGCTGTGTGAAGTGGCTGTGTATGGCTGCTATGTGGCTGTGTGAAGTGGCTGTGTATGGCTGCCCTGTGGCTGTGTGAAGTGGCTGTGTATGGCTGCCATGTGGCTGTGTGAAGTGGCTGTGCATGGCTGCCATGTGGCTGTGTATGGCTGCCATGTGGCTGTGTGAAGTGGCTGTGTATGGCTGCCCTGTGGCTGTGTGAAGTGGCTGTGTATGGCTGCTATGTGGCTGTGTATGGCTGCTATGTGGCTGTGTGTCCGACCGTGTGTGGCTGTGTATGGCTACCGTGTATTGTTGTGTGGATGTGTGTGGTTAATGTACTTAGCTGCTGTGGCGGTATGAGGCTGCTGTGTATAGCTGTGTGGCTGCTGTGTATGTGTGGCTGCTGTGTATGACTGTGTAGTTGTGTGTGCCCTGAGTTGTCTGTGAAGGAATGCGCCGGGCGGAAGCACCGAGGAGAGGGGAAGAGAGGGGGGGAGGTGTGGGGAGGAGGGGAGGGGAAGGGTTGAGGGAGCCGCCGACGAGGGGAGATGCTGGCGAGGGAAGAAGATGAGGGAAGATTGTAAGAGGGAAGGGGATAAGATACCTGGGGAAGTGCAGGGTA